AAGGCCTTTGCGGCGAAAGGCCTTGACGACGGCATTGGCTGGCCCCGCCTGCACCGACACGGTGCTGCCAAACGGCTCACGCGGCGGCACGCACCTTGCACGCTGGCGGCTCGCGCGGGGAGGTCCTCGGCGGCCATCTCGGCGAGGCACCCGGCGGCGCGGCGCTTCTCCTGTGGATCAGGGCGCGGGCGCCGCGGTCTGCAGGGCCGAAGGCGAGGTTGGTCTCCATCGGTCGCGGACCTCGGCGCGGCGGCCGTCGCCAAGGTCCAGCGCCTCGCAGGAGGGGGCTCCTTGTCGCAGACCTCTCTCATCAAGGGCTCGTGCTGCACCCCATCGACGGGCAGGCGGTGGAGCTGGCGGCCACGGCGAAAAACCCGGGCCAGGCCATCTTATCTTGCAACGGGTCGGAGAGTCCTACAAGGCAGGCGCCGATCTCGCTCGTATTCTCTTTCTCTCTGTCTCTCTCTCGTTCTCTTTCTCTCTCTCGTTCTCATTCTCTCTCTCGTTCTCTTTCTCTCTCTCTCTCTCGTTCTCTCTCGCTCTCATTCTCTTTCTCTCTCTCTCTCTCGTTCTCTCTTCGGGTGCTCTGCTTATCGGGGGGTGGCCTGGTAGGCTGTGCGAGGTCGGGAGCCCAGCCTGCCAGATTCGAGCCTGTCCTGTCCATAACCCGGCGTGGGCGCACATCCGGCGCTCCAGCTGGCATCCCAGGCGGAGGCCACTCGAGCGACGCACAGAAACGAGGTCGCCTGCGCCTGCATCCGTGCGCGAGTTGCCCTCGCCTCCAAGGCGGCGTGCAGCGCCAGCGGCCCGCGTGAGGCCCCGCGTCAGGCCCCTGTGCCATATCGCGCAAGGCCTGTTTTCTTTTCGTCGCCCCTTGTGGGGCCGAGGAGCCGAGCGGCGGGGGCAGGCTCGGCGGCATCCCCAGCGGCCCCGCTTCGCGCAGCCACCGGCGGGCAGGGGCGCCAGCAGCGGCGGCCAACATATGATGATCGGCCTTCACTGGGCAGGCCGAGGTCGCGCCCCCCCCGAGGAAGAAAATGGTTGATGGCCGCCACAGGCCCACGAGCTGATAGGCCGACACCACGTGGCGGCCAGAGTGGTGCCAATGACGAAGGGGCCCGCGCATTTTTTAACATGAGTTCAGTGACACGTGCGGGGGGACGGATGCTCAGTCCCACCGTGAAGCCTCCACTATTCCGACGAGTTCTACTGCTCCGAGGCCCTCTACCCCGTCTACTGCCCCATGTCGCTCCGCTCCCTCGGCGCCGTCTACTGCCCCGAGGCCTTCTACATCAGTGACGCTGCCAACTGCTCTAAGGCCCTCGACGTCAGTGACGCCGCTTGTTGCTCCGAGGCCCTCGGTTTCTTCAGCGACGCCGACCGTTCCGAGTCCCTCTATTCCCGTGGCGCCGTCTACCGCGATGAGGCCTCCTGCGTCAGAGACGTCGCCTATTGCTCCGAGGCCCTCTTCCTTCTCCGCTCCGAGGCCCTCAACTCCCTCGACGGCGTTTTCGGCACCGAGGCCCACTCCCTCGGCGCCTTCGACAGCGCCGGCCGCGCCGAGACCTTCGACTCCCTCGGTTACGCCGACTTCGATGAGACCGCCGACCCCCACGACTTCTGAGAGGTGGAGAGGTAGGTGCCTTGAGGCCCCAGATTGTGCTCGCTTCATTGAATATGCAAAACAGCGCAGAATCTCCCGTGGGATGAGGCGTGTTTTTTCTGAGCTTTACAGTAGCGCCCACGTTGCCAGACTCGCGAGGATCGAATTCGAGCAAGGAGTTGATCCGTTCTCCCCGCCTCGGAGGCCTCCATCGGGTTCTCTGGGGCCGTGAGTTGCCCCCGTTCTGGGGGGGGCGTTCGCGTGGCCATTTGTCGCCCGGGAGGCCCCGGAGACAAATGGTCACTTGTGGCTTTCTGTCCCGAACTCCTTGCTGGGCCCCGTCCTGGGTAATGCGTTCCCTTGGCGGTCCTCGGGGCGGGGCGCCAGCTTCCGGCGATGCCCCGAGAGCACCCTCGCCCCGCGCTCCTGGAGCCCCGTCGGGCTCTGCCTCCGAGCCTGTCTCAGCAGCCTGCAGCAGGCAAGACAAGAGGTTCCTCCTTCCTCCTCCTCCTCCTCCTCCTCCTCCTCCTCCTCCTCCTCCTCGTCGTCGTCGTTCCTCCTTCCTCCTCCTCCCCTCCATCCGCTTTCCTCCCTCCTCCCGTTTCCCTTCTCCCCCGCGAGGGCGGAGAGCCGTTCTGCTTCCAGCCGCGTTGCCAGCCGCTTTCGTCCGACCCGCGGGTGCCCGCCCAGGGCGGCCGGCCCACGTGGGGGCGCGAGCCCGAGCAGGGGCGCCACCCCTGCGGGCCCACTCGCTGTGCGCGCCGCCTCGGACACCCCCACTGGGAGCCCCCACCTGGTTGCAGGCATCCTCGAGTTCTGGGCCCTGACCGGCGCTGCAGGAATCCCACCTGCAAGGGGGGGCGCGTAGGGGGGGGGGGAGGAAGCAAAGGGGGGCAGCGAGGGCTGCACAAAAGGGGCCCCTCCGGGTCCCTAAAAGGGGCTCTTTGGGCCCCAGAGGGGGCCGCCTCTGGGGCCCGAGAAGGGCACCTTTCTCCCCCCCCCCCCCCACACTTTACGGTGGGGGCGTCCGTTAAGGAATGGGGCCAAGAGGCTGTCGACCCTGGGGGATCCCTTAACCAATGGGAGCATCCGTGATGTCCATGGCCGATCCACGACTGGAGTTGTACTGGCTTCCAAACCTTGGATTCCTGATCTAAGAGTTCCTTGTCCAATGCCCCCACCGCATCGCCCATGTATTACTTCGCGCCCAACCTGCAGGGATAAGGTTCGCGCGCGGTTGCCAACTCCTTGCCTGGCGAGTGCTGGCGGCCGGCACTGGCGGTGGGTGTGGGGGCAGAAGGTTTCGAGGTCGCGTGGCCACCGTGTGCCTCCTCGGCGTCGTCCTCGTCGCGGAGGCGGAGTGGGCTTGGCGCGCGGGCAAGCCCGCCAGCACAGCGCTCGGCGTGCGCAGGCATCGTTATCGTGAACACACACACACATCATGCATCCGCATCCTCCGAAGCACTACCACCATCGTGATCAGCATCATCATCACCATCGTCAGCAGCATCAGCATCACCAGCAGCATCATCATCAGCATCATCATCGCCATCGGCATCAGCACCATTATCATCACAATCATCGTCAGTAGCACAATCGTCATCACGACCATCCTCCTCATCATCATCATCATCATCATCATCATCAGTGCCATCATCGTTACAATCGGCATCAGCATCATCATCCTCATCCCCCCCCCAACAGCAACATCAGCAGCATCCTCATAATTACCGTCACCATCATCATCAGCAGCAGCATCGTCATCATCATCATCATCATCACCACCAGCATGATTTCGATCATCATCATCAGCAGCATCATCAACATCACCAGTATCATGATCATCATCATCAACATCATCATCAACATCATTGACAGCACCATCACCATCATCATCAGTAGCAGCATCATCATCATCACAATCGTCGCCGTCACCTCCGTCATGGTTGGTTGTCGTCGCCGTCATCATCGTAACATGGTCCTCGTCGCCGTCATCATCGTAATATCTCCTTGCGCGTCCTTCGGGAGGTCCGCCCCCCCTCCCCCCCTCATTGCCTTCCCAGTATCATGCTAAGGATCCTCAACTGGCAGTTGCGCAGTGGCTTCGACTGCCGCAACAGCGGCCACAGAAGGGATATGAGAAGGCGAACAAGGGAAGGAGGATGAAGAGAAGGACAGACGGAAAGGAAATAATGACAGAAGGATACGAGGAGGCGGAAGAAGGAAAGAAGGAAAGGATGAAGAACAGACGGATCAGTTGTTGCTGTCGAGGGGGAGGAGCAGCAGCAGCAGCAAGAGGAGGGGAGCAGGAAGGCGAAGAGGAGACGCGGGCCAGGGCACGAGGAGGAGGAGGAGGAAGCAGAGGAAGGAGAACGAGGGGGAGGAGGAGGAGGAGGAGGACGAGGATGAGGAGGAGGAGGGGCAGGAGGAGAAGGAGGAGGAGGACAGTCAAGACACGGGGCAGGAAGAGAAGGAGGAGGAGGAGGAGGAGGACCGGTGTAAACCCAAGAGTCATCCACGATGTTGGAATACACTCTTCCTCCCCCTACAAAGGTTCATTCCCACTGAGGGAACTGCCTCGTTGGCAAGCAACCGTTTGAATACCCTGAAGCATGCGAAAACATTGTTCTCGGGATTCCAACTCCACGCATCAACCTTACGGTTGCGTCTTGACGATCCCGAATCGTTCCAGAACGCCATTCTTGAAACGTCAACACCGCGAATCAACGTAAGTGTTGCACCCTCATACATAACCCTGAACCCGTGCAAAATGCAATGGCTGGTACGCTGATCATGGGAATACATGAAACTCTTGTTCTTGTTCAAAGAAAAGGGCGCGGCGCTAAGGCGAGAGCAAGATTCTGAAAAGGAATCGCCATCAATCTGAGAAGCTCTTGTAAATGTGTACACCGAATACGCGCGGCGCTAAGGCGAGAGCCACACTTTGAAAACGGGCCGCCCTCAATCTTTGAAATTGTTGCCAATGTTGAAGCTTCAGGGTCGTAAGCGGTGGGGAAGTCTCCGGCGAAACGCCCGGCCCGCCCTAGAAGCTGGGCCTCGGGGTGCGACAGGGAGAAGCTGTTTAGAAGGAGAAGGAGTGGGGGAGGAGGCGGACGGGGCGAGGGAGGAGGAGCCTGCGGAGGCGGAGGACACCCAGAAGGGGCGGAGCAGGTACAGCAGCGATGGGCCCGCGCTCGGAGGCAGCGCGCGGGAGGAGGAGGCGCAGGGAGGCCCCCGCGCGCCGCGGGCGAGACTGCCGGCTGCCGCCGCGGGCCGCCCTCGCCCGCGCGAGTCGCGCCGCGGCAGGCCGCCCGGAGGCGCCCCGAGCGCGCTCCCCCCCCGCGCGCAGGCGCGCGCCCGCCTCACACGAATGGCCCCACTGATCGCCCGCCTCGTGCATCGCCCCCCTCCCATCGCCCCCCCTTCATCGCCCCCCATGTGTCGGCCTGCCCCCCCCCCCATTTGAGCGCCAGCCCTCGCTGCCCCCTCCCCCTCCAATTGTTCGCCCCCCCCCCCCCCCTCCCCCCATGAATTCACGCCCGGCGCCTCCACCGAAGGGGTGCGCCCCTCTCCGGACGGGGCCAGGACGAGGCGAAAGGTGCGCGACTTCACATGGGGGCTGCACGTGGGGGGGGGGAGAAAAGTGCCCTCTTCGGGCCCTGCGGGCCCCCTGCTGGGCCTTGAAAGGGCCCCTCTTCTGCAGCCCTCGCTGCCCTCCCATGTATCGCCCACCCCGTGAATTCACGCCCAGCGCCTCCACCAAAGGGGCGCGCCCCTCACCAGACAGGGCCACGACGAGGAGAGACCCGTTCCAAAGCGTTCTGTGGAACGCTCTCCGATAGAAGGCCGCGGTGCCCGAGGCATCCCCCAGAGCCGCCGGATTTCAGAGGTTCTCGATATGTCCTCACCCGAAGTCATCCTCGTCCTGGCTACGTCTCAACCAAAGGGGCCGGCGATCCATCCGCCGCCGACCCAGAATTGGTTGATGTTGCGCGATCTGACGTTTCGGAAACGGCCGATTGTTCGAGGTTGAACGATCGCCCGCGGTGTCAGAAGCCAACGCCGAACTCGGCACGACACGAACCTGCCGTACCCCCCAGGGACAGCCATCTCGGGGCGCACGCACGGTCGGGAACTTTGGCCTAGCGTATCGCGCCGCCGGTTATGGCCCCCCCGCGCTTCTGGCCTCCCAGGCGTCAACGTCTCTTCCCTTTCCCAGCCTCCCGCCCTTCGGAGCGAAGCGACACGCGATCCGCTCGCAGGGCATAGTGTGTCGTCGGGGCCGCCGCCGCGACACGCCAAGCAAACGTTCCCGACCGCATCGGGGCACATGACGGGGTTCAGAGCAAACGGGGCTCAGCAGGATCCTGTATCGCCAGAGTTTGGCTGAGCTGGGTCGGAGAGCTGCTCGCGGCCTTGGAGCTGGCCTTCTTGATCGGCCGAGCCGGGTTCGGGAAGCCCTCCAAAAAATCAGAGGAGCAAGAGGTCATGATAATGATACGTGCCAGGATTTCACGGTTTGGAGAATGTCCCATATGTTCCTAATCTTCCACACCGGCTGCGACGCTAGATACTCTGGAATTTCTCGAACGTGTCTTGAGCCAACCTTATCATGACATCATTCTCGCCGTAAAAATATCGGCGGCGAGAGAGGGGGGGAAAGGAGACGGAGAAGGCCTTCTCAGAAGGCGGCGTGACTTCTCAGAAGCCCTCGCGCCTTCTGAGAAGCATCTTCTGTCTTCAGGGAAGGCTCAGAACACTTCTCGGAAGGTCGTGGGACTTCCGAGCCTTCTGAAAATTGCCTCCTCCTTCTCACTTCCCCCCCCCCTCGTTCGGATGCAACTCCTGGGAGGTCAAATTCTGTTGTCGCCTTTGTTCGACATCCAGTTAAATCCAGCTTAATCCCGCTTGATCCGGCTTAGTCCCGCTTAATGCGGCTTAATCCTGCTTGGTCCTAGGCCCTTTCCGGCGTAACAGCTCCCAAATGGGGCTTATTGTTTTGAATACTTCCGTCGAAAACCTCCCAGCAGTTGCCCCTTAACCCTCGCTCGCTGTCCCTCCCGAAAAAATGCAGCGCATGTTTTACACATCGGCTGAGCCGGGTCTGCGCTGAGCCTGATTCGTCCACGCCCGGCGACAGGAGAGAGTCAGGAGGAGAAAAAGCACACAGACACAATGCATCGTCGATTCCAAGGAAAAATGTTGGAAAATATGGGCAGTGGGGGGGAAGACGAGAATCCAAAACATATTGGAAAATAGGGGGAATCCTGTGGTTTGTGTCTACTTACTTGTGTGCCCCAGGGACCCTTTCAAGGAGAGAGGCTCCGGATTGTGGCCCGCAGGGAGGCCGCCCGCGCCCGCCTCCCCGAGGGCGTGGCGCGCCCTCTCCTGGCGACGGGGTGCCAGCGAGGTCCGGCTGCTTGTTTTTAACGCGGGCCTCACTGCGCAGTGTGGAGGACGATCCGTGGA